AGAGCGGGGTGGGTCGTCCCCTGCTGGCTCGTCCCGTGGCCTGGCACGTTCCGCCGCGCGTCCCCTGGCACGTCACCTGGCGCGTCCTTTGGCTTGCGCGTCCCCTGGCACGTTTGCGGCGCGTCGACTGACACGTTCCGTGGCGCGTTCCTGGGCACGTTCCTTGGCGTTTCCCCTGGCGCCTCGACCCCCGGCGCATCCACTGCCACGTCCCCTAGCACGTCCACTGATGCGTCCCATGGCTTGTTCTCTGGCTCGTCCGTTGGTGCGTTCCCTGGCTCGCTCTGCTGTCCCGGTTAACTGGTACTAAGCCACAGCCAGACGGGTAGAAGTAAGAAGCAATAATCGTCCCAACAAGACCAGACCTCGGAGGCTCAAAAAGCCTCAAGTCGGGTAGCCTGCTTCAATCAGACTCAAAAAGCCTCAAATCGGCGCGTTCCCTGGCTCGTCCTCTGACGCTTCCCCTGCCCGTTCCGTGGCGCGTCCTCTGGCGCGTCCTTTGCCACGTCCCTTTGGTGCGTCCCTTGGGACGTCCCCTGGCATTATCTCCCTTGGCGCGCCCACTGGAACGTCCCGTGGCAGGTCTTTGACACGTCCGTGGCACGTCCCGTGGCACGTCCACTGACGCGTCCCTAATTAGGCGCGTCCATCTGTGCGCCCCTGACACATCCCGTGACGCGTCCCTGCGCCGTGCGCCCACTGTCGGTTCGTCCTGTTTCGGAACTGAGTCGAATGGCGAGCTCGAGCCGGTTGAGTGCCCCGCACGTTTCGACTACAACCAGTTTTGGGTGAGCCATGCGTTCGTGCAGCTCGAGCACATTACCCGTACCAGTTCGACCAAGATGCGGACGCCAAGGACGGTCAGATCCACAACGCACGAAAGTACGGCACAGACCATCGCAGTATGAAACAGTACGGCGCAACACGGCACAGCGCAGCGCAGCACAGCACAGCCCTTGGCACGCTGTCATCACCATGGATGTCTTGAGCACTGCGACCGCCTGCTGCCCAAATTGGGCCAGCCCTTTCCCGGTTTCGTGGGCCGATCACGTCCTGTACGTTCTCCCCTCAGGGGGGCTGCTCTGAATTTGTCGGAGGTGGACAGACCTCCTACCCTGACACGTCGATTAAGGAATTGGCCGTTTTCGGTTCGCGAGAGGGCGTCGCGGCCGTCATTTTTGCTGGTCCAGGTCCGCCAGTTTCGGTCCCAGGCTGTTTTCACTAATGGGAGGTTTACTAAAGGGAGGTTTGTCCACCGCCGAATTTGCGAGGTCTGGGCGCTGACCCGAAGGTAGTTTGCAGAGGTTCGTAGCCCTGGGAGCGCGGGTTTGCAAAGGATGACTTCCCGGTTCGTGGGCTGATCACGTTCTGTACGTTCTCCCCTCAGGGGGCTGCTCTTGATTTGCGAGATTTGGGCGCTGACCCAAGGTAGTTTACAAGGTTCGTAGTCTTAAGTCGGGCCTGTCCCCCTACAGGGAGATTTTCGACGAAAATTTAAAAATACCCAAAAAATATTCCAAAAATAATCAGGGGATTATTTTTGGGGTATTTCTTGACCTTTTTGGTGTTTTTTGGGGGTACTTCTTATTTTTCGTCGACAATCCCCCTGTAGGGGGACACGCCCGACATAATCGTAGCCCTGGGAGCGCGGGTTTGCAGAGGAGGACTGCCCTGGGGCCTTGGGGGCGTGGGCACAAGGTCATCTGCAAGGGATTGGTGGCCCTGCGAGCAGGGCTCCGGTGTGCTTTGGCAGCGGGAGCGCGGGCCCAGCGCAATGTGCGAGGGGTCGAGGCCCTGCGAGGGCGGATCCCACGCAGTCAACGAGGGATCGTGGCCCCGGGATCGCAGACTCAGCGTGGCAGTGAGAGCGCGGACCCAGCGCAATGTGTGAGGGGTCGAGGCCCTGCGAGGGTCCTGTTCGTACCGGTGGCCCAAATAGCTTCGGACACACGCTGCCGCGGCACGCACTTGGCGTGTCGGGTTGACACGTTTGGTGTCGACTGTGGGGCCACAAGACATGTGCGGACGTTGGTCGACATTTGGCCCAGGAGCCATGTTTGATGGCTCCATCCCACGTAGTTAGCGAGGGATCCTGGCCCTGTGATCGCAGACTCAGCGTGCGCTTCAAGGGGCCATGTCCTTGATATCGATCGCGCAGCCAGTGTGATTTGCGCCCGAATCCGATCACTGTGTGAGGGTCATGGCTGTTAGAGTACTGGCCCACCGTGATTCAACAGGGGTCATGAGCCTGCGAGTGCGGGCCCACCGTGATTTACTGCGGATCGTGGCCTTGGGAGCGCGGATCCATTGTACTTCACGCGGGATCGTGGGGCCCAGTGTAATTCACGTGGGATTGTGGTCCTTGGAGCCCAGACCCTCTGTGTTTCACGAGGGCTCGTAGGATGCCAGGAACCGTAGCGCAGCCCCCAAGGACTGGTGTGAGAGGCCTTGTCGGGGCTGGGGGGATGACTCGTAGGTGGGGGGTAGGATATAACTACTACATCAAACCTCCTACATCACCACAACAACAGTGAAGCCAATGCAACGCGTGTGTTCGCAACCTGGAGGTCCGATTCGGGAAATCATGCATCGCAGAGTGGCGGATTAACAATCCACGCTTTTCTTGAATTTCGATTGGATTGAGGACCGACGAGCACGACGGCATCGTCTGGGCTGGCGACCAAGTCGTGCACCACCTCTTCCAGGAGAGGAAGCATGTATTTTGGATTGGCAAGCAGAGGGCGCTGCGGTAGAAATGCCATCGATGACCGTGAGGGTGACAGGAATAGTTCCGTCGGTGTTAAGGCAGCAGAAATGGCAGGGCCTCTCTTGGAACGGGCCAATCGATGCGGAGGAGGAGGATGATATGAGGATCACGGTGACGATGAAGGAGAATGGGGAGGAGGGGGGTGAGGGAGGAGGTGGAGGAGGGAAAGAGACATAATGAGCAGATGGAGGAGGAGGATGAGGAGGAGGAGGAGGAGGAGGAGGAGGAGGGGAGGAGGAGGAGGAGGAGGAGGAGGAGGAGAAGTTGGACGAGGCGGACTTCGGCGAAATTGCGGCAGGAAAGGTCGGCATGGGCTCGAGAGTGCCAGCGCATACCTTTCTTCAGACATCATGCTCTGCGCATTTTTTGGGGCCAGCCGCCTGGGGGACCAGCGCTCGGGCGAAGAGCCGCTGACGCAGCTGACATCCTACCGCCAGGCCGTCACATGGCGTTGGGCGTGAACGGGGGGACGAGGAGGCGATGAGAAGAAGGAACAAGAGACGGAGTAGGAAGAGGCCGACGGAGGAGGAGGAGGACCTTTGTAATATTGTCATGTCATTCGAGCAGTCCGTCGCTTTGGCTGAGCTAATACTGCACTGCCATTCGACAGCACCTTCGCAAATGCTCACTGACACGGTGGAGGAAGCAGGCAAGCAAGAATTCTCGGATGCTGTCCATTGTCTCTCTGCCTGTGGCTGAACAAAAAAAAGACACTGCGTGGCGGCAAGGCCGCAGCTTCCCTCACCAGCGAGCGCTGCTGGTGGGGACACCACCTGTGATCCTCGACCCGCCCCCTGGCTGGGGAGGTGTGCCAGCTGGGGGGGTGACAGGCGTCACTCCTGAGTCCCTCAAAGTACCTGGCGGCCGAAGGGGCCTCGACCTTCCACGTCAAGGCAGGAGGAGGAAGGAGGAGAGGAGGAGGAGGAGGTCGAGGAGGAGGACGAGGAGGAGGACGAGGAGGAGGACGAGGAGGAGGAGGCATGACGAGGAAACTGCAGGAAGGGAACACAGGGCAGTATCTGAAGATATGTGCGCACAGTGCCATTGAGATCGCCACCTCCTCGCGCGTGCACGCAAGCTGACCGTGCGAGGGCCTTCGTTCGCTGCTGCCACCACCAAAGAAGCACAAAGGAGGAGAAGAGGAAGGAACGACAGAGGAAACGAGACAATAGACGTCACGAACACATGGCAAGCCAACTCAAGAAGCCATGCAGGCCAATGTGCCAGACTTCATATATTGTGGTAGCTTTGTGGCGGAGTTCTCGGAATGTCTCGCGTATGTGTTAGATATAATAAAGATACCACCGCCTGTAGCGGCCACTTGAGGTGACCCTTGACCAGGACGCCGCCGGGCCAGTGGAATCAACACGCGGCGGGAAGCGAACGTGTCTCCGTGAGCCGTGGAAACTATGCCGGTGGAGAGTGAGACGAAAAGAGAGGAGAGTAGAGGGAGTGTGGAGGGGACGGAGGACGGAGGGGAGGGGGAACGCTCCTGCCGAGAGTCGTGTCGAGCAAGGCGTGGGAGGAACTGATCAAACGCAGCAGCATGAAACAAATTGGGAACTACGAATTCGAAAGCTGATACTGAAATAAAACTCAGACTTAGGATACTGTCACAATGGGAGGCCACGGAAGATTACGGGAGACCACAAGAGAATGTCGGAGACCACGGGAGGCGAAGGCTCAAGACCAATTCCAGATCCAGCGATCTCCGGGAGGACACGGTAAGCCAAAGCGCTCGACCGATTCCACATCCGGCAATCCTCGTACCCTGCTTCTGAGACGCAAGAGTTAGGACCCTTACAGACAAGCTGCTTAGAGAAACATCGTGACGTCAGATGCCTGGGGAATGAACCAGCGAGGAGCCTCCTCATCGTCTTTCTTCTCGGCCTCCATCATGAACATATGACAACATCAGCGGGTAGTCGTGGCTCCCTTGTCCGGTTTTGGAGCTAAAGATTCTGCACCGCCTCGACAAAGAGTTTGCCATGCAAGGCGATGGATATTGAACTCGCAGGACATGGTGAGCAGAGGTAGACGATAAACGACTGCCGGTGGACTTGCGAACGACACGGGCAGTGACCTCGCACGCAGACTGCAGTGGAGGCAGTCGCGAGTGCAAGCTGTGTGGGCGACAGCCGAGAGCATCTTGTCGTCACCGCCCATGCTCCCGCCTCGTTTTCCTCTGCCTCCACCGTCCCCCCCCCCCCCTGCCGTCCCCCCCCCGCCCTGCAGCCACATTGGCTCCGGCTGGAATGTCCCCGGCGCGCCCGCCCTCTCGCGGGGCCCGGGCCAGGGCGTGGCCGCGTCGGCCCTCTGGCCAGGCTGGTGGCCGGCTGCAGGCCGCTGCGCGGGTGCCATGGGTGGTGCCCTCACTGCCAGCGGATCGCAGGGTGGCCCCTCGTGCCCGCGCTGAGTGCCTGCTGCATCGACTTCGGTCCACTTTGGCCGTGGTCGCCACAAGGACCGATGCTCCCACCAGGTCGCCCGATCGTCGGCTTGAATCTTTGGCTCGATCGATCAGGCGTCGTGCGATCGTCGGCTTCGTTCGGCGGCTTGATCGACCGGGCATTGACGAGGCGGTGCCAAGTCGAAGCCAGAGAATCCGAACGCAGGGAAGCCTTTTTTCTTCCTGGCCTCATGCCCTCCGGACAGCATGCAGAACGCCATCGAGGTGACGCAGAGGTACGGCGGCTTCCGCTGCATTGGCAGCGACATGGGCAGCACCTCCTTCAGCAGCAAGGCGCCCTTTGCGGCTTGGAAGGTCAAGGCTGAGTCCCAACTCATGACTCTGAGGCAGCTCTCGCCGGCGGGCCAGAAGGTATTTGGCATCGCGATTGCGGGCTTTGGACAGACGAACGACGAGCGGCACTTCCTCAACCAGCTCCACATCAAGCACGGCGACGATCAGTTCGCGCTGAAGCAGTGCGGGGACGTGGACGACATGGAGCTCAGGGGCGCCGACGAGGGGGGACCCCCCCAGGGGTGTAAATATCGACCCCCCATCGCCCGTTCATCGCCAGTCGGGCCCCGCTCGCCCCAGGAACGCGCGGCTCCACTGTCGAAAGCCTAGCGCCGACCAACATCGGCGAGGTATCGCCGATCCCAGGTCATTGCTCAGGAAGGAACAAAAACACACAGACACAATTAATCGTCGATACCCCAGAAAATATGGGAAAATATGGGAAGTGGGGGGGAAGACGAAAATCCAAAACATATGGAAACATATGGGGAATCCTTTCATTGTTGTTTATTTTTTCGTGTGTCCCAGGGCCCCTTTAATGGCCCCCCCCCCCAGAGCCAGCCCGCTCCCTGCGACTCCCCCTCAGGAGCGCTGGCTGCTCTCCCAGGGCTACCTGCCCGTGCCCGTCGGCGCCGGCCCCGGCCAGGCTCGAGGAAGAAAGTACGACACACAGTCAACCCGCGTAGTGAGGACAGGCAACCTTTTCTCTCCTCCCCCCCCCTCCTCCCCCTCTCCCTCCCCTTCTTTTTCCTCTCCTTCTTCCCTTCTCCGTCCTTGGTCGTCCTTCTGGGACAGGGGCCCGGCTGCGTGTTCTCTCGCCCAGCGGCTCCTTTTTCCAAGGGTACCCTTGCATCCTTGTCCCTTCGGCCCATCCTTAGCGGCTCTCGCTCTCCAACCTCGCTCGAAAAACGCTGACGTGGCCCTCCAGGGCCCCTGCATCCCTGCCGCGCGTCCTTCTCATGCGGGTTGACTGTGAGCGCAACCTCTCGGAGCCCGCGCCGTGTTCCTGGAGCGGCGCCGCCCTCCCTGGCCTCGCGGATCGGGCCAGGGGCCGCTGGCGCCAGAGGGGTCCAGCTCTTTTAGTAGGCCTCCCAGATGCTGAAGTCCCAGCAGATGGGGTCGGAGGACCGCGCCGCATCGCCGACGCATCGGCGATGCGGCTGGATGTGGAGCCCGAGGTTCTCAACGCTGGCGTCGCCGATGCACCGCCGACGGCGCCGGAGCCTCGCCGATACATCGCCGGTGTATCTGCGATGCGGGACGATTTCACGACCCCATCTGCTCGGACCCCATCTATTGGAGCCAGCGCCGATCGGAGAGACCCGCGCGGAGCTCCGACAGCTGCTCCTGCTCCTGCTCCTCCTCCTCCTCCTCCTCCTCCTCCTCCTCCTCCTCCTCCTCTCCTCCTCCTCCTTCGCTTTGTGCGTTGTGCCGCTGGTCTCCTCCCCAGGCGGAGATGCCGCTCGACGCCGCCACGGCCGCCCGCCCGGCGCGGGATGCGAGGGGCAGCCCGCCGAGGCCGCCGCGGAGGTCGCGCCACCGCAGGTGCAGATGGGCCAGGCTGGGGCGCTGCCCCTCCCAGCCTTTCCAGGGGGTGGGGGGGGGAGGAAGGAGGAGGAGGAGGAGGAGGAGGAGGAGGAGGAGGAGGAGGAGGCGGAGGAGGCGGAGGAGGCGGAGGAGGAGCGAGGGGAGGAGGAGGATGAGGAGGAGAGGAGGAGGAGGAGGAGGAGGAGGAGGAGGAGGAGGAGGAGGAGGGGCTGAGCGGAGGAGGAGGAGGAGGAGGAGGAGGAGGAGGAGGAGGAGGAGGAGGCGGATGAGGAGGAGAAGGAGGAGGAGGAGGAGGAGGAGGAGGAGGAGGGAGGAGGCAGGAGGGAGGAGGGAGGAGAGAGGAGGAGGAGGAGGAAGAGGAGGGGGAGGACAAGCCCAAGAGTTACCAACGATGTTTGAATAAACCCTTCCCCCTAAGCTCCCTCTTCATAGGCCCCTACAATGGTTCATTTGCACAGAGCGTTCTTCTCCGTTGAAAGACAACCGTTTGAAGACCCAGAAGCATGCCAAAACATTGTTCTCGGGATTCCAACGCCACGGATCAATTTGACTCTTGCATCTTGACGACCATGAATCGCACCAGAACGCCATTCGTGGGACTTGAACACCGCGAATCATCGTAACTGCTGCGCCCTCATAAGCGTGAATCCTTCCAAAGCACCATTTCTGGTACGTCGATCATGGGAATCCGTGAAACCCTTGTAATGTTTTGAAACAAATGTGCGCGGCGCTAAGGACTTTGAGAAGGAGCCGCCCTCAACCCGTGAAACTCTTGCAGTTGTTTTCAAGGATTGTGCGCGGCGCTCAGGGGAGAGCCACATTTTGAAAACGACCCACCCTCAATCCCTGAAGCTCTTGCGCGCGCGGCGCTAAGGCGAGAGTCACATGTTGAAAACGACCCGCTCTCAATCCGTGAAGCTCTTGATTTGTTTTTGCAGCGAATGTGCGCGGCGCTGAGGCGAGAGTCACAACATTTTGAAAACGACCCGCCCTCAATCCGTGAAACTATTGCAAATTTGTAAAACGAATGAACGCGGCGTTAGGGCGAGAGCCACATGTTGAAAACGATCCGCCCTCCATGTTGTCAATGTTTAAGCTTCCTGGCCATAAATGGTGAGGAAGTCTCAGGCGAACCGCCCGGCCCGCCCTCAAATTTGGCCCCGGGGTGTGACAGGGAGAAGTTCTTCCTGATGAACAGGAATGAAGGAGGAGGAGGAGTAGGAGGAGGTGGAGGAGGAGGAGGCAGGAGGCAGAGGAGGAGGAGGAGGCAGGAAGGAGGAGGAGGGAGGAAGGAGGAGGAGGAGGAGGCGGACGAGGGAGGAGGGAGGAGGAAAGGAGGAAGAGGAGGAGGACGAGGAGGATGAGGGAGGGAGTGTACTGAGAGTACTTATGATGGGGGGAATCGACACCCTTTGGCACAACGGCCACAGCAGGACTCCGGCATGTGCTATCTTCATCCCATTCAACAGTTCCGCCCTCCCGACGGCGCTGATCACTCTCCCAAGCAACAAGCGCCTCGGGTGTATCGGAACCGTGCAGCTTTACAATCTGATAGGGCGGCAAGGAAGAATGACAGTCGATGGCTGTGCACGGCGAAGCTGTCTCCGCGGCCGAAACAGAAGCCTCAACAGCCAAGCTGTCAGAGAGCGACCCCCACCCCCGCCACCCACAGCAGGCTCACAGCCAAGCAAGGGATCCCGAACAGCCTTGTCTGTCGGCCTGGGCGGAGGGCCAATCGTGGCCTTGTTCAGGTTGTGGCCAGGGCACAGACCACACCTCAAACGAGATCGCTGGGTCTTGTTCCCGCCGTGCGTCGAGCCCTGAGGGGGGAAGAGGGAGAAGTGAGAGGAGGAGGAGGAGGAGGAGAAGGAGGAGGAGGAGGAGGAAGAGGAAGAGGGAGGAGGAGGGACCAGCGTAAACCCACGTGTCATCAACGATGTTGGAATAAGTCCTCCCTCCAAGCTCCCACTTCATAGGTCCCTACGCGGGTTCATGTCCACTTTGGGAATTGCCTCGTTGGAAGACAACCGTTTGAAGACCCAGCAGCATGCCAAAACATTGTTCTTGGGTTTCCAACGCCACGGATCAACTTGATTCTTGCATCTTGACGACCATGAATCGTGCCAGAACGCCATTCCTGGGACTTCAACACCGCGAATCATCGTAACTGCTGCGCCCTCCTAAGCGTGAATCCTTCCAAAGCGCCATGTCTGGTACGTCGATCATGGGAATCCGTGAAACTCTTGCAAATGTTTTGAAACAAATGTGCGCGGCGCTAGGGCGAGAGCCACATTTTGAAAAGGAGCCGCCCTCAATCAGTGAAATCCTTGTAAATTTGTAGTGCGAGTCTGCGCGGCGCTAAGGCGAGAGCCACATTCTGAACACGACCCGCCCTCAATCCATGAAGCTCTTGCGAAGTTAAAAACAAATGTGCGCGGCGCTAAAGCGAGAACCACATTTTGAAAACGACCCGCCATCCATCTGTGAAGCTGCTGCCAATGTTTAAGCTTCCGGGTCATACGTGGTGAGGAAGTCTCAGGCGAACCGCCCGGCCCGCCCTAAAAACTAGCCTCGGGTTGCGACCCCGAGCGCGTTCCACTACTCGCAAAGTGCCTACTCGCAAACGTCTGAAAAAACACATGTCTGCTTCGATGTAATTTCTCGTAGATCCCCCCCGGCGGATCCAGGCCACTTGCGAGTATTTGCTTTGCGAGTAGTGGAACGCGCTCGTCCATAGAAGGAGAAGGATTGGAGGAGGGAGGAGGGAGAAGGAGGAGGAGGAGGAGGAGGCAGGAGGCAGGAGGCAGAGGAGGAGGAGGAGGAGGAGGAGGAGGAGGCAGGAGCAGATGAAGAGGAGGAGGAGGAGGAGGAGGAGGAGGAGGAGGAGGAGGAGGAGGAGGAGGAGAGGAGGAGGCAGGAGGAGGCAGGAGGAGAGCAGGAGGAGGAGGAGGAGGAGGAGGAGGAGGAGGAGGAGGAGGAGGAGGAGGAGGAGGAGGCAGGGAGGAGGAGGAGGGAGGAGGGAGGAGGGAGGAGGGAGGAGGGAGGAGGGAGGAGGAGGAGGGAGTTTTTTTTCTTAATTTTATGAGGGAGTACGATTGGAGGAGGGAGGAGGGAGACGGAGCCGCGGGCCACCTCCGTGCAGGCCGCGGAGGGCGCCGAGCACCGCCGCCGGCAGGACGACGCGCCGCAGCAGGGCGCGTGGGCCTCCGTCTTCGGCACGCAGCGGCCGGAGGACTCCCAGCGGGCCACGCGGGAGCGCCTCCTGGCCGACCTGTACAGGCCCCGCCCGCTGGGCCGCGCTTCCTCCCCAGGGGCGGCGGCCCGTCTTCCCATATTACCATCATAGGGGGATGCGAAGTCCCTGAAGACGGGACGGGGTGGGCACGAGCGGGCATCATAGCCGGCTCAAAATCGAAGGAGGCATCATAGCCTCATCAATTTAGATTGATCCACTCACGGATCCATTGCAATTGATTTTCATTGAATTCATTCCATGCGTAGCATGCTCTCCCCTCGCGCTGCGAACAAAAAATCGACGGGAGGCTTTTTCGCTACTGGCGGCCTCCGGGGGCCCTCGCCGGGCCTCGGGAGCATCAGCAAAACGACTCGGGATGGAAGACTGGTCCCGGGGAAGGGGTGCAGTGCAGACCTCTGGGTGTGGACGTTGGGAGAAAGTCACGACGTCGGGGGTCAGGGTTAGAGAGGCGGAGGTAGCGCTCCAGACATGCCCGCGTCGTGACAGCATCACGACGGGAGGTTCCCCCGGCCGTGGACGGCCTGCCTCCGGGGGCGCTCGCCCGGCCCCAGCACCAGCTCCAGGCACCGCGTGTTTGGGGGTTCCGCGGCCCCTGCTTCGCCGCCACGGCTCCCTCCTCCTCCTCCTCCTCCTCCTCCTCCTCCCCCTCCTCCTCCTCCTCCTCCTCCTCCTCCTCCTCCTCCTCCTCCTCCTCCTTCTTCAGCTTCAACACTCGAGGCGCGCCCTCGCCGCCTCCATAGGCGCCCTAGCGGCCGCCTCTCTGCCAGACAGACCTGGTACGCTGGGCTCCTCCTCCTCCTCCTCTTCTTGCCGCGGCCAGAGTCGCCCCCGGGGTCCTGGCCGGAGCGCGCGCCCCCTCGGAGAGGCAGGCCCCGGGGACCCGCGGCATCAGGATCTCTTTCCTCGTCCACGTCCACACCGCGCCGGGGGTTGTGCTCCCTGGGGCCTCTCGGGGCGCGGGTGGCGTCGGCGCGTGCCCGGCCGCGCCCACCGCTCCCCGGGCGGGCCCCCTGGGCCGGGCCGGGGCTCCAGACGCCGTGGGCGTGGATGTCTCCCCTCCGTAGGATGGGAATTGGCGAGTGGCCCCCCGCAGTTTCGGATAAGAGTGAGGGGGCGGGCGCGGGGTGGGTCGCGGGTGGGTTCGCGGGTGGGTCGCGGGGTGGGCCGCGGGGTGGGTCGCGGTTGGATCGCGGGGTGTCCGGGGGGGGAACGACGACGACGACGAAGACGACGGCGACGGCGACGACGACGACGACGACGACGACGACGACGGCGACGACGACGACGACGACGACGACGATGACGACGACGACGACGACGACGATTTGAAGACTGTTCACTTTCATCTGCCCGTGTGTCAATCGACATGTGCATATATGGGGCGTTTCAAAAAGGGCATTGCCTTCGAGGATCGAAGGAGTTGCCATCTCTTCCTCGGCGGAAGGCGGCGCAAGGGCGGCGGAAGGTCGGTGGAAGTAAAACGAGGCCGCCTCCGCTGGCGGAAGCCGGCGGAAGGGCGGCGGAAGGCTGGCGGAAGCAAAAATCGCCCCCCCCAAGGGGTGATAACATTTTTGGGTTCAGGGTTTGGGGAATCATACACACACATATATATATATATATATATATATGTATATATATAAATAACTATAAATATATGTGTATATATATATATATATATATATATATCCCTGGGGGCGATGCCAGGGGCCCCAGGACAGGTGCCCCGACCCCCCATGGCGGGACCGGGGCTCATTTTCCTTGTGTTTTTTTACAAGGTTTCCGCGTCCTGGGCCTCGGAGGCCGCTGCCTCCGACCTCCCATGGGAGGACGGGGCGGCCGGGGAGGTCTAAAATAGTCCAGGAGGGCTTCCAGAGGCTCCCAAGACGGCCCAAGCGGGCCCCGAGTCGCCGAAAGACCGCTCCAGGACGCCCAAGATAGGCCCAAGACGGCCCGAGAGGCCCCCCAAGGCACTCCACGACGATTCAAGACGCCTCTCCAGAGCGCTTCAAGAGGCCGAAATCGTCAATTTTACGAAGGTTTTCGAACGATTTTGGCCTTCCAGCCTTTTCGGCTGTCCGACGTTCCAAGACGGCTCAATAGGCCCCCAAGAGCGCCCCAAGACGGCCCAAGAGGGCCCCAAGACGGCCCCAGAGTCGCCCAAGACAGCCCAACAGAGCCCCAAGACGGCCCCAAGATGCGCCCAAGAGGGGGACCACGACTCCAAAATTCGACCCTCTCACTTGAAGAGTGCCCCAGGAGGCCCCAAGGAGCCCCCAAGAGGCCCCAGGAGGCCCCCAAGAGGCACCCAGGAGGCCCAAACGAGGCCTAAAGAGGCCACAAAACAGCCCCGAGGAGGCCCCACAACGGTCCCAAAACGGCTACCGAGAAGCTGCGAAACTGCCTTCACGACGTCCCCGACAGGCTAACCACGAGATCCAAACCAACACCCATGAGGCCTCTGACCCACCACCCAGGGCACTGTGGCGGGAGCAGTGACAGCACTTGTGCACAGCATGTTCCTGCGGGAGCCTTCCGGGACACGCTGCAGGAGGAGGAGGAGGAAGATCAGGAGGAGAGAGAGCCGAGTGGGAGGAGGAGGAGGGGGACGAGGAGGAAGAGGCCTCCCACACAGCTCCAAGATAGCCGAAGATGCTTCCAAGAGTGCCCTGGGCGGCCCACGAGGGCCCCAAGGCGGTGCCTGAGGCGCCCAAGACGGCCCGAGAGGGCCCCAAGACGGCCCCAAGAGAGGCCCAAGAAGGGAAACACGAACTGAGAATCCGAGCTTTCTACCCCGAGAGGTTCTCGGAAAGTCCCAAGAGGCCAACCGGATCCAAGAGGCCCCCAAGAAGCTCCCAAGAGGGCCGACGAGGTTCCAAGAGATCTCCTGAAGGTGGCCCCAAGAGGCACAACTCATTGTTTTACGATTGGGCTTTGACGGGTTTTATTTTTTGTTCTGCCTTTTGGCATCCCGATGCTCCAAGACGGCCCAAGAGGCTTCCAATACCGCTCCCATATAGAGGAAGAGGCCTCCAAGAGGGCCCCAAGACGGCCCGCGAGGGCCCCAAGACGGTGCTTGAGGCGCCGAAGACGGCCCGAGAGGGCCCCAGGAGCCCCAAGAGAGGCCCAAGAAGGGGAACGCGACCCAACAGCAGAGCGGTCCCCCCACAAGGCCCACATGAGGCCGCAAGAGGCCCCCAAGTGGTCCGACGAGGACCCCAAAAGTTTCCCGAGGGCCTAAAAGGCCCCTAGGAGACGTCCAAGAGGCTTTAAAATAGCCCAAGAGTGCCCTCGATGCGTCAAAACTGCTTCCAGGAGGCCCCCAGGAGGCTTCCGGATTGCCTCAATCTGGCCGCAGGTGGCCTCAAGTCGGGCCTCCACGCAGCCAAGACGGCCAATGACGGCTTTAGATTGCAGAACCGATGCCCCCAAGGGACCCTCAGACGCCCCCCCAAGAAGCACCCAAGAGGTGCCTCCAACAGCCAGTTGACGAAGCATGCGGAACACCCCAGAAGCTCAGATGCCGTCGCGCGCCTGTGCTTGATAGCGTTGTCCAAGTTCGTCCAGCACCCCCCCGGCCTGGGCTAGAATCTGAGCGCGCGCGAAGCACGCGCGATGGTTCTAGCCCAGGGGCCCGAAAACAGCTGCCCGACCCTCCATGGGAGTACCGGAGCTCATTTTCGCTGTGTTTTTACGGGGTTTCGGCGTCCCGGGCCTCGGAGGCCGCCGCGATGGTCCCGGACATTTTCCAGATCCTCGGCGCGGGCTCCAAGACCATTTCGCAGAGGGCTCCAACAGGCTCCAGGGCAGCCCAAGAGGGCTCCAAGACGGCTCCAGGAACGACTGCAGGGTCTCATTTTTCGTGTTTTCTGCAAGACGGCTCCAGGAAGACTGCATGTCTTATGAGGATGGCTTCCGCCTCTTGCCCCGAGCATCCCAAACTGCCTGAACGGTTCCCACTTGCCTTCCCCAAACCCAGCGCTTGCCCAAGCGCGTTCCGGACGGTCTTCGCCGGAACGCGCTGGAATGATCACGCGCTGCGGTTTCCCATGCCAACGTCCTCGGACGTGGGCGCCCTGCCACGAGCGCGTTCCGGGAAGATGCTCCCGGAACGCGCTGAAAAGATATGGCCACATCTCGGGGACGCTCCCGGCACCGCTGCCCCAGCCTTTCCGGGCAGCCTCCACAGCGCTCCAGGAGGGCCCAAGACGCCCCCCAGGAGCCCCCAGAATGCGAAAGGATGGCCCAAGACGCTCCCGAGCAGCCCAAGTCAGCCTTCCGACGGCTCTCGAGGCTCCCAGGTGGCCTCCAAGAGACCCCAAGAAGTCTGATAGGTATCATGGTACGGCCCGAAGATGCCAAAGTCGTATATGTTCAATGGTCTTTTCAATGTTTTTGGCTTCTCGCGTTTTCGAGTTTCCAACGGTCCAAGAGCGCCGAAGAGCCTCCATGGGGGTACCGGGGCTCATTTTCCCTTTGTTTTTAAAGGGTTTCCGCGTCCTGGGTGGGCCTCGGAGGCCGCCGCCTCCGAAATGGGAGGACGGGGCGGCCGGGGAGGTCCAAAATAGTCCAGGAGGGCCTCCAGAGGCTCCCAAGACGGCCCAAGCGGGCCCCGAGTCGCCGAAAGACCGCTCCAGGACCCCCAAGATAGGCCCAAGACGGCCCGAGAGGCCGCCCAAGGCACTCCACGACGATTCAAGACGCCTCTCCAGAGCGCTTCAAGAGGCCGAAATCGTCAATTTACGAAGGTTTTCGAACGATTTTGGCCTTTCAGTCTTTTCGGCTGTCCGACGTTCCAAGACGGCTCAAGAGGCCCCCTGGAGCGCCCCAAGACGGCCCAAGAGGGCCCCAAGACGGCCCCAGAGTCGCCCAAGACAGCCCAACAGAGCCCCAAGACGGCCCCAAGATGCGCCCAAGAGGGGGACCACGACTCCAAAATTCGACCCTCCCGCTTGAAGAGTGCCCCAGGAGGCCCCAAGGAGCCCCCAAGAGGCCCCCAGGCACCCAGAGGCCCAAACGAGGCCTAAAGAGGCTACAAAA